CTCTCCTCCTCCTTTAAGTGAGTCCTTCAATTATAGCCCACAGCTGGAGATGGAGAGGATGGGATACACACAGCCATATTGCACAGTTGATCAGACAAGAAGTGAGGCTCTGACTTATGCCAGGCCCATTGGTGACTCTTTCCAGTGAAATGAGAATTGAGAGCAAGATCGAAGGCTACTGAGCAAAAGTCAGTCACTCCATCGGTCACTCTCTGTGGCTGAATCCAGAACATGCAAACTGGGAAGCTGTGGTTGCCCATGTTTTCTGTTACATGGATTAGGGAACACAGAATGTCACCCCCTGGGAACGAGAAAAATGAAGCCTACATTCAGAAAGAAGCAAAAGCTTGAGGTGGAGAGGGTCTATTTCCTGGGTTCCCAGTGGCTTTCGTGTCTCTGTTGCCATCCTGAGGCCCAGCTGCACACTCGCCCTTGAGTTTTATAAGGCATCCTTACATCCACATACTAAACCTTTCCCTTTTCACCCAGCTAGACCAGGATCCAGTGTATTTCCTGAGCCCTCTATCTTCCATTTCACTTAGTGGCCTGGCCCTGCATTTTGTAAACAGGGGAGCGCAGTCTCCTAGTTAGGGCCTGAATATGACTAGACTACCTTACCTGCATTTCTACTTCAGCTCGCCTGTATCTAACATAGATACATCCTGTCATCACTAGGGCAATACTTATTACTCCATTCCTCCATTTCCATAGAGAAGCACGGATTTCCATTCCACTTCCAGGAGAGATCAGTAAGGGAATGAGGGAGCATATCTGTCCCTTTTCCATCTCTTACTAACTCCTTCCCACAGAAAGAGCAGGGACTTCTCTCACTGAGAACGGGAGAAGTGACTGGACTCACAGAGCAGGCCTTGTCTACCCTCTTGTTTCATTGTGGAAAGAAAGCGTGGAGGCCTGGCAATCTTTTCCTGTCAGTCCTTCATCCTCCTTGGGTCAAGGGAGATTGCAGATCTCCTTGTATCTGTCTTGACAAATATCAAGCCTTCAGACCTGACTCTCCTGGTTGGGGTAGGGGGTGGGATGCAGTGGTCCAGTGGGGCAATCAAGTCCCAAGATCCAGACTTGTGGAATGGGGGAAGACAGGGTATGTGAAGAAGCAGATCCAAGATACATTCTCCAGCCTTGCTTTATACTGGATTTGATCCTTGACTCCTGAGTCTATTCCTAAATTGGCTAAGCCACTTAAAAGAAAGAATATGATTAGTCCCTCAGAATCCTCACCAGTCTTGAAGATACTTTAAGGAATATTGAGTTCCATGACAGAAATAAATACCTGCAGAATAAGCTATACTCACTGAGACTCTGCTGCATGTCTGCCTATTAAAAGATGTGTAACCTACCAAGCCGTTTTAGTTGTTCTCCTTTATTCCCTAAATTGGTAAAAGGTAACATATTCCAGCCAGTGACTGTAGTTGAAAATCTTCAAGCCTTCCTTGATTCCTTTCTTTCTCTCACTAACCACATCCAAACAACCACCAGCTCCTGTTGATCTCACCTTCCCAGTGTTTCGTCCTCTCCTATGGGCACAAAGTTCAGGCCCTTTTATTTGTAGTTTCAATTACTGCTGTAGCTTTCTAGTTATCTTCTTTGCCTCCAACCACTTTCCACATTGCAGCATGATTTTCCTCTGTGAAATAAACCTGATGAGGTCAGTGCCCTGACTGAAAACCTTAGTAGATCTTTTTGCTTACAGGAAAATCGGAATGTATAAGACCGATTATGATCTGCCTCAAGCTGCAAATTTCAACAATGTCGTTTTCTTCCACCATGCTTTATCACATCTCAGCATCTCTACATCTGCAGCCACCATGTACCCGACCTGACACCCTATCCAGATCCACACACTCACCATTTCTTAAATTCTGTGTCTTGGTATGTGCTAGTAAATGCCCAACCATTTCACTATGCCTGAAATATTCTTTGCCCTGCCTCTCTACCTCAGGAACAATCACTCATCCTTGGAGTCTCAGCTAAAAATTTAAATTGTATGTGAAGTAAATACCCTCCATGCTCCTTATTGCTATTTCCAAACCATTCTCATTCTCTCTCTCCCCTCCCTAGACACTCCTGGGCTTGAATCTCATATAATTAAACCATATTGCCCGTTATTCCCCATTGTTGATGTCGCCAACCCACCCCCCTTTATTTCCCACTGATTTTAGTCCCTGGTTCACTTTCACTAGCAGTCCAATAGTACTAATGTCTTAATTCCTGAAAGATTGCAATATACAGAGTAGATGATTCAATCCAACACTCCAGCCTCTCAGTTTCTTGAACACCTCTCTTCCAGTGATCTGACCCTCCACACTATCTCAGCCATTCATTTATATGCTCATAACCCTAGACCTTGTCATTACCAATAATCCCTCCATAATCTCAATGTAATTCATTCCATTCTCTAACTATAATCCCTTCCATCTATCCCTTAATTCCTTCTAGCGCCCCAATTCCAACTTCACCAGGATCTCCAATCCACTGATCTTTCCATCTTTTCACTGTCTCTAACCTTCTTGATATCCTCTTTCCACCTTACTCATCTTAAATTCCATGATCAATCAATGTGCTCACTTCTTTGTGTACAGCCTCAATTCCTTGTTATATTCACTCAGCAAAACCACAATCCTGGTTAAATCCATCTTTTAACCTAATTTCTGCCTTCATTCATGCAAAAGAATGAACTGAAGACAAATGCTCTTGATTATGAACCTCAAGTGAATCCATATGCTGCTTGAAGATCATATTATACTTTTCCAGTCCATTCACTCTACTACATATGTGATGGCTACTTTGTTCATTCTCCTCTCTCCTCAAACCCACAGTACACCGCCTCAGTCCACAGTCTCAAATGATGATCTTCTTCCCTACTTCTCTGAGAAAATTAAAGCAAACAAAAAGGACTTCCATAGCCTCCCAGCACCTTCCCACCAGAATCTACATACGTAAACCTTGACTTCTCACCTCCTACCAGAGAGGATATAATCCAGAGAATTGGTTAAGTCAATCCCTCCACTTGCAAACAAGATCCCATCCTGTCTTATTCAATGACATTGCCCTAGCAATTCTCCCATTTCCTTTCCCAAATCACGAATTTCTGTCTCTCTACCAAATCCTTCCTATCAATTATACAATCAAATTATTTCTCCCATCCTGAAAACAAAAATAAAAAGCCTCCTCCTTCCATACTCACTTATAACTACTCCAATTCAGCTTTTGTTCCTACCTACACAACCAAAGCTGCATTGGTCAATTCTCAGTTCTCCTCTTACTTGACTTATTAGAAAGATTTGATAGAGTCAATCCCTCTGTCTTCCTGATAATACTCTCTTCACTCAGCTTCCAGAACACCCCATTCTTGGTTTACTTTATTGGTCATTACTTAGTTTCCTTTGCCATTTTTTCTTTTTCTTCCCAAACTCTTAATGTTTAAGTGCTCCAGCTCATCCTTTGTCCTATGCTCTGTCTTTCATTCACTCTTCTCACAATCTTATCCAGAATTGCAATTCTGAATACCATCTCTATGCTAATTTTCCATCTCCAGCCCAGACTTCTCTCCTGAACTTTAGACTTGCATATTCAATTGGCTCTTCTACATCTTACTTAATGTCATCTAACAACTCACAAACTTTGAGTTTAAGCTGTTCTAATTCCTGATCTCTTACCACGAAAACTATTTCACCAACTTCCCCTTTTCTCAAATGATAGAAACTATGTTCTTCTGGTGGCCTTCTGGTAGACTCATCTCTGACTTCTCTCTTTATTCTACTCCCACAAACCCAATCATTCAGCAAATCTAGTCGGCTTTAATTTCAAATATATCCAAAATCCAAACACTTCTTACTATCCTGGTATGAGCCACCACCCTGGTATGAGTGATCATACTTCTCTCCTGAATTATTATAATATTCCAATTTAGGAATTAGCAAAATATTTTTGTAAAGGGTCATATAGTAAATATTTTCTGCTTTGCAGGTCTTATAGTCATTGTGCAAATACTCACTTCTATTGTTGTAGTGTAAACGGACACAGCTGTGTTCCAATAAACATTAATTTACAAAAAAGTAACTAGTTGCTTTTGGACCATGAGCCATAGTTTGCCAACTCCTGGTCTAAGTGGGCTCCTTCCTTCCATCTTTGCCTCACTGTTATCTTTCCTCAACACAGAGGAATCTTTTTAAAATGAAAGTCAGATCATATCATTTCTGTGCTCAAAACTCAAAACTCTGCAAAGCCTCCCCTTCTTAATCAGAATAAAAGTAAAATTCCTTTCCATAACCTACAACCCTACATTATCTGGCCCCAGTCACATCCCTAAACCTCCTATCTTACCACACTCTCTCCCTCATCTGCTCTTCTGCAGCTGCCCTGACCCCCTTGCTGTTTCTCAAATAGCCCAGGCACACTCAAAACTTAGGACATTTGCACTGACTGTTCCCTCTTCCCCCAGATATCCATATGGCCAATGCCCTCCCCCTCTTCACTTCTTTGCTCAAATGTCACCTCTTCAGTGAAGCCAGTACCAACTACTATTTAAATTTACAATCTTCCTCCATGACTCTCAATCCCCCTTACTCTACTCTGTTTTTCCCTTTTTTCCCCCCAAAACTTACCACTTTCTAACATAAAACATAATTTACTAGTTTATATTTATTGCATCCCTATCTTTCCTAGAATGCAAGCTACACAAGGCTAGGGATCGTTGGGGTTTATTTCCTGACGTATCCTGAGATCCTAGAGCAGTGCATGGCCCAGAGTAGGTATTCAAAAAATGTGTTGAATGAATGACTTTGCGGAGCCTCCCTCAAATCTCAGAGACATAGTGAATTACTCTGTTCTCCACAGTACTTTAAACTCTGTACATGCCAATCTTTTAGTCCTTTTTATCCTGATTTATTATTATTTATATATCTGTCTTTCCCATTACTGAGCCACAATTTTCTTGGACATTTTATATATGTTTATTTTCAGAAACTAATACAGCTTGTCATGTAGCAAAAGGTCAAATCATGCCAACTTAATGAAAGTACAAAGGTGCTGTATATGCATAGTTCTCTGACACCAAATCACCAACTCTGCAAGTCAGTTGTTATTTAAAAAGTCTCTCCTCAACCTCACTCTAGATACACATATACATACACTCTGCTAATTGAGACAATTTAAAACTATTTTTCACATATTTGCTTAATTAGCTTGCGGTGACCTCTGCAAAAACACTGGCCTCTGATGATTATAAGAGGTAGTTTTCTGGCATGGACACCAAAGCATCAAAGAGTCAGCTGGAACTAAGGAAAGCAATAACACAACTGGTTTTAATTACTCATGACAGGCAGCTGAATATATCTGACACAGGTCTTCTCCCCAATACATCACTCAAAACAGACCAGTTACAGGAAATAGTGGAGAGGAAAAAAACCCCAGAATGGGGCAAAAATGTGCCCATAATAAAAAGCAGATCGTCTTTCGCATGGATGACCTTATTCATTTTGTTTTATATTTTTATGATGGTCCTGAATCTATAAAACTGCCGACCCCTCAAGACTTGGCATGCTTCTATGCTGATGCTTAGGAATGGTGGCTCAGATTCTCAGAAGAGGAAGCAGGTGAAGACGGCACCCATTCATGAATCACTGTGTAAACGAAGGAAGGGTTCCTCCAAAGTTCATCTGGGGTTGCAGGCATGTTTGCAATTAATTCATCTGTGGAGTACAGGTAAGTACCTTCTACTTCTATTCAACATTCACAGAAGGATTAACTTCATCTATAACCTGGTTGGTTCTTTGGACTTGTTGCTTAGCAGGAAACAGGTGAGGATTAGGAGTGGCTTTGTACAATTTTAACATGTCTCTCTTACGAGGTGCACCCTCTCATCTGATGAAACTATGGGCTTTGGGTTGGCCATATCTTTGGGTTGGCTCCTATTGGAAAAAGAGAGCTCCTTACTAGGCAGGATTTTATCTCAGGACCTCATTTTCTTGCTACAATCTCCCTGCCAGCTGTTTGTCTGACCCCTGAGCTCACTGCCGTCTTGTTTCTGTGCCTTTCCTGGTTCTTGACAGCTTGCACTGTTTGATCACTATGTTGATTGGTTTTGCATATCCCAGGGCTCATGGAACGTCAGAAGCCCTCAGTTTTTCCTGCTGCTTTGCTCTGATTCCTGTTTGATGCCTCCAGAAGCTTAGACTGTCCCCTGAGTCTTTCTACTTATAACGTTGCCTTTCATGCTTTCAACAAAAGTTTGAGTTCCTGTGGTGCACTGGGCCTATGTTAAAGACTGAGACTCTAACCATAAATGCTCTATTAAGGAGCTCAGAATTTAATAGAGGAAATAGCAAGTAAGCAAATGATTACAAGTCACATGATAAGTGCTGTGATATGTTAAGCAGAGGATATGAGGGTAGCACATAGTGGAGGCACCTAACCCAGCACTCAGGGAATGAGAGAAGCTTTCCTAGAGTCAGCAACATCTAAGCCTGAGCCAGACAAAAAAGAATAAGATATGCCCTGTGCTAAGGAAGTAACATCTATAAATGCCATGAGTCATAAATCATAGCTCCTTCAGGGAACCACAAGTAGTCAAGCGTAGTTGCAGGGAGTGTGGAAAAACCGAGGCTGGAGAGGGAAGCCAGGACTAGATCACAAAAGGCTTTATACGTCATTCTAAAGAAATGAGACTTCATCCTATTGGTGATGGGGAGTCACTGAAGGTTTACACGTGACATGGTCAGATTTATATTTTAGAAGGACTGGCATCAGTGTGGAGAATGGACTTCACCATCTAGCTATTTCCCTGAACCTGGCCCCACGCCTTTGCCTGCCCTACTTTATTCTTCTGTGGCTCTGAAGAGCCCAGCTCCTCACTCCTTTCCCCGTCAGTATCCTCAAATAAAACTAATGATCAAAGTCCATTTGAGATAAAAAATACGAATTATCTGAGCCCGCTTCACAGAACTAGACTCTCCTGGGGACAGAGCCTGTGGATCTCTATTTTATAAAAGTTTCCCAAATGATTCTGAAGCAGTTAAACTACGGACAGAACTTGGGAACTAACGTAGTCCGTTATTTATACCACAACAGAGATGTGTTGACAAACATCAGCAGCGTGTTTGGCTCACTGAATTAGATTGAAGATGGCTCTTCACTCTAAATGTCTTCCTTCTACAGCATCTATGACTCTACTTACAGGATCAGAAAATTCATCCCCTTACTTTCACCCTCAAGAACTTTTCCTTGTTCTTTGAATAACATGTCCAAACCTTAACAGGACCTATTAGGCAGCATGATCTGGCTCCAATGGCCTCTCCTCTCAAGCCACCCTCTCCTTTACTTTGTAGGTATGATTAACAGTATCGGGGTGGGGTGTTGATACAACTCTCTCCCCAACTTCTACTTTCTCGATTAAATCAGGCATGGGTACGGAGTTGGGAAATTGTGTAGAGCATTAAAGATCTGGAAAATTTCTAAGGAGAATGGAAAGTGACTTAGGAAGAGAAAAAAGACTGCTGATCAACCTCGAAAACTCAACTGAGTTAAAAATCCTATGTCCATATCTATAGGACAATTATGTTATTTCCTCCATAAGCTCAGGAACCCAGGAGCAGACAACTTTGATAATTGTGTCAATCAGCATATGAGTACTGGGAAAGCAGAAAGTCAAGAGCTAAGAGAACTAAGGGTGCTGGTGTAAAAGAAATAGAAAATTCCTGGGATGGTCCTAAAAAGAAGATTTAGCTAATTTGCTGCAAGACACAGAGGATTAAAACATGAGATCCCTTGTTTTGCCGTATTCAGTCTGTTTGGTAACGATGCACCATTTGATTTAGTTCTGGTCTCTGGCTTGTTCACCAATGGTTCTATCTCACATTCTGTTATGTTACCCTAGAGCATGGTGAGTAACATACAACAGCTAGAAGGTGTCGGCATAGAGTAAGTAACATAATTTTCCAGGACATGAAACTATCAAGGTAATGCTATAACAAGGTAGTAAATGCTTTATAATGATTTTTTTCCTCCTAAGTTAGAGCTACAACTTGCAAATATTATTTTTATGGTGATAGCATATCCATGCAACAGACTTTATTTAAATTGATTCTTTGCATTTCATAGAAGACTCAATATATATCAAAACACAAATATATATCAAAATATATATGTGCTTCAACATAAAGATATTGGAGTGTTTTAAAGACAATAGCAGTTATTTTTAAACATTCTGCTAATAAAAATTAATTACACTTTGCTTTTGAAAGATTTTTAAATAGTTTTAATTAAACCAATGCCTTCCATTAATCCAGCTATTTCAGTTTTCAGGTTTACCATTTCCTTTCTCTTTCCAGTGAACAGTCATATCAGTCAAGGAAACAGGAGCAGCTGCAATGAACCAAGCAGTGTTGGAAGCCAATGGCTAAAATTAGATTATCAATGACATTTACTTATATGTTCACAGCTGAAATTTCAAGGGTACAACATTTTCTCCTGAAAGGAGACACGTCCCCATCACTGAAATGCAGACTTCTGTTATCAAATTACATCCATATTACAGTACTGGGTGGTGAAACTGACCCAAAATAGAAAGCGAAACCATATGCTTTTTCTGTTAAGAGAAAGGCTAAAGACAAAATTAAGTAATGGACTTGTTTTCATAAGATGATTTTGACTGGTGCCTGCTTAATTAGTGGGAGGTTTTTGTCTAAGAGAAGTAGTAGTCCCAAAGAGGAAGGAAGGATAATGTATCTAGGATGAGGGCAGAGGAAGGGGTCTGGACTTTACCCCACCCATCCTGCAATACTCTATAATGCAAACCTTCAGGGACCAAGGCAGTTTAGAATTTGTGAACATTGCTCCCTCTTCTGTTTTTGTATACACTGAACAGTTGAGGTGTATACAAGCACTTTCTTAAAAAATTTTTCCTGATGTTTCACTCCATTTATCTTTTGGAAAATCCACAGGGTGCATGTACTTTTACAATTAGTGGAAACTTGTACATACTACATCGATTATTTTCAAACATGCATTGCATTCCTTCTCTCCATCTCTCCACGAATTACAAGGGGCACTTCAGAGGACAGCACCTCTGTTCCAAAGTCCAGTCATTCATTCCCACTGCTGGTCAGGAGTGTCTGTGCTGTGCAGTGCGAACATCCACACTGGGATGCACTGCTCTGGAAAGCCGTCCTGCTTCTCCTGGCCCAGCACCGCCAGCCCACTCTTCCTAATGAGGCTCTGGAGGATGTCCATGTCCCGAGTCACACTGCTGTCAGAGAGATCAAAAATACAGCCCTCCCGAGCCACATTGTCCTTCAGTATGATGACGCCGTTTTCTTTCAGGCCATCTCGGCACCGGGAAAGAAATGCAAGAAGGTCTTTATCAGTCAGGTACCCTACAGGTGAGGCCAAGTAAACGGGGGAATAGGATGAAACGGTGGAAGGGGAGGGAGGTGAGTAGGAAAGACCACAAGGCTAAGAATCAGGAGACCATTTGTTCACTCACATGTGAATTACTTAATAGCCTGAATTATAATAGTTACAGGAGCCTTTGAGGATTTAGATAAGAGGACAGGCATCCTCTTTGAGGGGGCTCAGTGCCTTGTCTATAGAGTAGATAGTATACTACCTGTCTATCTACCTCACAGGCATGAGATAAACTATTGCCCATCCCATGGGTCCCCTCCATGTCCTCCAGACAACCCAACTCTATCATCACTCCTCTGTGTCTCCTACACACACACACACACTTAGATCAAAATCTAATTCACTGCTATCTAGTTTCCTGGGGGTTTAAATCTGACAAAGTCTAGTTTTGCCTATAAATGGGGCTAAACTTTTTTTTGGACCCACTTTTTAAAGTTTGTCAAGTATTTACATTTCTGCTAGGATTTAGGTTGGTCCTAAGGTACTCCATCCCTAAGGATGGGCATTGTCAGGCTTGTACAGAGAATATTAAGGGAGAAAGCTGGAGGACCAGAGCTTTTTGGGAGTTCCCACGATACCTAAGGCTAGCAACCTGCCAAGCACAACTACAGCGATCTTCCTTTTTGTCCTTGCTCCCTCTCCAACAATCCTCAAATTAACCCAGGTATTGTCTTCTCTTGCTGGGAAGGGGAGAAGGGCAGATGCAATGCCATGCAGGACTAACCGGAGACCCACTGAATCCAGATGACGTCATATCTGCCCAGTGGGGGTGTGAATTCCTGCAGGCTGTAGCAGTGGTAGCTTTCTACTTTGTCCCCTTTGACCTGCAGGTAGTTCTGGGCTTCGAGGAGAAACGATTCCATCATGTCCACCAGTTCCACACTGTTGAAAACTGGCAACAAGACATGCTTGCTGACCCTTCCTATCCCAGAGCCGCAATCCAAGGCGCAGTCCGTCCCAGCTCGCCCAGGCCCCTGCAGAAAGGCACCCTGTGGAGTACTTCAGGTACAACACCCACCCTGAGTCTTGGACACTCTAGTTACCTCTTTAAATCAACTTTATTTAGGTTGATTCCATAAAATAAAATGCATTACTCTAAGTGTACCATTCAATGAGTTTTAACAAAGGTATGCAGGCACTTACCCACTACCACAGTCAAGTTATAGAAGTTATATTCAATTACCTTTTCTAAAAACATATCCAAACATTTCTAGTGTTCACTTTCTTTATTTTATCTAAATATAGGTCTTTAAAAGAATTTCAAAATAGGATTTTAGAAAACAATGCCTTAGGTTTAAACATTTGGTAATTTCCCTAAGAAATGGGTCATTGAAAGCCCTACAAAAATATAACTTTGTTAACTCTAAATTTAGGTCAAACCCACAGCTAAATGGACATTTGCTTTGTAAAAACAAAAACAAAAAATGTGTAAAGCAGGGAGAGCCTTTCTGAGTTTTAAAGTTACTTTTAAAATTCATTCAAAGAACACCTTTCAATTCATATTGGGATGATTGAAATTTTATTTATTTCAAAACTGATTTTGGGGGCTCTGAATTATCTGCTCTCCTCGTGTGGGTGGCAATTCTTAGGGCCTGAGCCGAGGGAGCTCACTGCCCACCCTCAGGCCAGCTTCTCCTCGGACCCAGCCCGATGGCCCACAGCTCATTCATGTGGATAAGGGGCTGCAGCACAGTCTCCTTGTCTCTTCTCACACTAAAAATTGTTTCCTGCTTTTGTACCAAAAACTATATGACTACTGGGCACAAAGCCCCCTAAATTTTTTTTTTTTTAAGTAAGTCTGTGCATTAAATTAACTGGGAGTGAAGAATGGATAGGTGGTGGATGAGGGGAAATCAGCCAACGAAAACATTCTCAAACTCACTTCTATAAAGTACTATATACATATACACTTATGGACGTATATATGACCAGCTGGATCTTTGGGTTAAGTGTATATATCTCAAAGACTCAGCTGGTCTAAATTATTTGGTCATAATTTGGGATGGCTGCTGAATACGTTTTGCGCTAGAAATTATAGTAACAAGATACTTGAAGTTGCCAATCAAGATCTTAAGGAGAAAGCCTACTCTTGATTTCTCAGGAACTAAGGATTAAAAAAACATTTGGCTAAGAATCAAAAGGTGAAGTTTGAGCAGAAGGAAACATCAGAAATGCTGCATTCCAGTCCACCTAAAAGGCCTTTTTTATAGCAAGAAAGGTACAATGAAGAACAAAAAGTGAAGAAACTGTAGCTTCTTTTCAAATGGAAGAATAATAAGCATGATTTATTGAGGGCTTATATGTAGCAAGCTCTTTGCATCTCCAATAAATGTAATAATTGAAACAACCCCACAAGACAATGATAATTCCCCAGTTTGGAGATGAGGAAACAGATTTCTAATATCACACAGCTAATGGAAGAACTCGAATTTGAAGTGGGAACTGTGTGAATTCAAAGCCAGTTGTACCTTAGGATTGTTACCTCAAGGGCCAATCTGATTCCCTTGGTAGTGTCTGTCTAATGCTATGTTGAAAAGAATTCTACGGCTCCATTCAGACTCAGCAGGAAAGAGGTGTGTGAGTGATTAGTGATGTCTGCTTTGAGCATGGGAAGGACAAGTGGTAGTACATGTGCCATGTATTTGCCATTCCTACTTCAGTATGCCACTCCCTCGTTCACATATCATAATTCAAACTAAACGAAGTCAGACAAAGGCCTAGGCTAAAGGTGTAGTTGTGAAGGCCGTAAAAGAAGCATCGTCTAAGTAAATTCATAACATAAACAAGATGGGGCAAAGTATAGGGAAATTATTTTAAGCCACTGAAAATGACTTTAGTAGAAATTTGTGTGCTCAATTAGAGATTGTCATTACAAATTTTTCTTTTCATTCCTTGGCCCTAAAGCCTCTATTGATCACATTGCTCATGTTACCATAGCAAGCAGCTTTAGAAGCAGAACCTTGGAGCAATAAAGCAAAGAGACCCTGGAGATCCATGCCAGGGGACTCCAAGAAGATTATAATAGCTGAACTTTCTTTCATTGAATAAACAAATAGGAAGCCTCTCTAGTTAAGGGGAGGCAGGGCCTCACCCACTCAGCCTTCCTGTCAATCTCCCAATTAGCCCTTGAAGGATCTCAGCAAAACCCTAGAGTTTTTAAACTGCTCATAACTACTTCCCTTGCTTTTTCAGACAAAGAAACTGAGGCCCAGAGAGGTGAAATATTTGAAATAGAACTCCCTTGAAAATTCTCACCCTCTGATTTGTACTTTTCACCAATTTAGATGTGTTATAGTTGACTATCGTTATTCTTGAAACAATGGTTATTTACACACACGAAAAGGTGTCTTTCACCCAAATCCTGTGTACCTCTAGCCTCTCGCCACTACGGCTTAGTTCCCTTTATTCCATCTCACTCCACATAGATGGCACTGTCTCCCACAACCTGGCACCGAGTTTCTCTCTCTGTCTCTCACTCCCATGCAGCTCCTCTGAGAAGGGATATTTAAAGACTGATCTCAGGGACGCCATCTCCTGCCTCTTGGACACCACAGCTGCCCGAAGCTGTGATAGTATTGAAATCTGATGCCCTTCCATGAATGTGACCAGAAGTCCACACAATGCGTGATTTCAAAACAAGATGTTCTGTCATTTTCATCTTCATTTATTATGCTATTTTCATACTTATGGATTCATATAAAATGGTAAAATATTCTTAGGAATTTCATTCTGGTTTTGATTCTGCTTATATATTTTGTTTTGAAGAACATTATTTTAAGATCATCCAGTGGAGTTTAAAACTAAAATGAATGTGCTAAATGCCACTGTATAAAAGTCCTGAAATATAACAAGTTAGACCCAGAATTTTTAGTCATCCAATCTCTAAGAAATGTGAAAAGATAAATGCCGTCAAATATTGATTACTTTTTATAAATCCCTACTTGCCTCTACTAGAAAGCTAAAACTGAGAAAAGTTATCAGCTATGCCATTGACATCATATTAGTATCATTTGTTTATTTGTTAAAGTAAACACATTTGCAACAAGTTTAAACACCTTTTCCCACTGTCCCACGTCACTAAGTGTTGAAAGGAAACCAAAACTTTAAATAATTTGCCTTTTCCCAGTTGACACAACAATAAATCATGTCAGATACTCATATTCCCTAACTCCTTGTATCTTGACCTGGATACTAATTTAGCAGATTATTAAGGTCGAAGTACCAAAATATCATTCCTTAAAAAAGACTGTGTTTGTACTTAGAGGTTACAGCTTCACAATGAGCCTTGTCTACTAAGAAGGACTCCTTATATTTGTTTGAAAAGAGCAGGCTGCTCTTTTCCAACATAAATATGCAAGCACAGGGCTGTTTCCTTTCCCAGGTCCGTGGGCGTGTGTATGGGCTCTGTCTGACCAGCATCCCTGTGGTCAGCTTGGCATTCCACATGGAGTGACAAGACAGCTGGATTACTAACTAAGCTTCTGAAATGCATTGGGATCAAAGTCGGCCTCACCACGAGGCAAGCAGGAGGGATTGCTCTCGGCCAGAGTGGAGGAGAGTTGAGGTCTGTGGTCCACAAAAAAAAAAAAAAAAAAGCGGGGATTTTTCTGCTTCATGAGACAAATGGAAAAAATATGTCACAGTTAAGAGTGGGAGTTTGGTGTCAGACAGACCTGGCTGGGCTTAAGTCCCAGCTCTGTCTCTTACCAGCTGTGTAACCTTGACAACTTATTTAACCTCTCCAAGCCTCGGTTTCCACAACTGTAAAAACAAGGATAATCATAGTACTTACCTCCTAGAATTGTGTGACAAGTAAATGAGACAATGCTTCTAAAGGCCTTAGCAGAGTGACAGACCATCTCAGGGCAAGCACTCAGTGAAATCAGTCAGCAACACTGATTTAGAAATACTCCAGGTTAACCTGACCCACAAACAGCATGGCCATCATCCCCACTCCGTAGTCCTTTATGGCTGCAGCTGCTGTCCAGACACTCCTGCCCCAGTGGTGCTCCATCCTGATCCTGTTTTCTCTACTCATGCACTTGGTGCTGCCTGGAGGCTGGATGTGAAGTGAACCTCACCTCAACACTAGGGATAATATCATGCTTCTCAGAATGTTGACTAGCCAACACCAAATATTCATAATATTTATACTCTCTCATTTATCAGAATAAAGTGGGCTCCAAATTTCAAACAAATGACTTCACACTGAATTGGAACAGAATCTGTTTGCCAGTTAGGACTTTGTGTTTTCAGTAGGACAAACAACAGCTTTATTGTGTGGGTTAAACATATTCTAACAACTAAATGAAGTTCCTTAAAATGTAATGAATGCATTTTATGAAAGACTTTTATTAGTAGTAGTAACAATAAGTTAGACTTATTGGGTAATAATTATGTGCACCAAAGCAAGCACTTGATATATATTATCTCATTTGATCTTCATAATATCCTATGAGGTAGGTTCTATGGTTAGTCCCTAGTCACAGGTAAGACAACTGAAGCTTAAAGCATTTAAGGAACAAGCCCAAGGTTGCTTATACAGCAAGTAGAAGAACCATAATGACTCTAGAGCCCAAGATTTTGGCCCCTACTCTATACTGTCTGTCTCCATATGACAGGGAAGTAAGGGAGTAGAGTTTCACACAACACCAGGACTACAAAGGGATCACATTCTTTCAAGGCAATGTCTGAACTATGTATAAAATAATACAAAGAGATTCTACTGTACTTCTTTTTAAGCCAAACATAAGCATACATTTCCCTACTACATCAAATTTGTATTACAGCGAATCAATAAATCACCCCAAAATCCCAAATAGCATGACCGCTCATCAATCATCTGGGTGTCAACTGTTTATCTATGAGACTCTAAAAGAGATATCTTCCTAATCCCCTAATTGTGATATTAGTCCTGCTAGCTCACCTTCCCCTGAAGCAGGAGAGATTAGCTGGTGCTCAGAGGGAGGAATGCCAAGTGGGATAAAACAATGGTTTGATGTGACCTGTCCTTTCCGAACATCTTAAAATAGGCTTTCAGGCTAAACCCTTGGCTGAGCCATATGACTTTATTATGACTTAAGTGACAACGCAGACACATGTGAGCTCAATGTTTGCAAGGACTTTGACTCCTCATCAAGCTGCAGTTGAATACTCACCCCAACAAATTTTCTAAGAAACTCCCGAGAAGCCTGGATATCTGGGTTGGACAGTTCTATGAAATTTCCCATCATACCCTCTTCAGTAGCTGGTACTTCTTGGTAGAAAAGTTTAGCTCTGGCATAGAACTGCATCTCACCATTGATGACTTGACTTGTTAAAGCATACAGTTTAACTGCAAATGAAATAGTATTAATATTTATATGACAGAACAAGTTCAGTCTTATCATGCATTGAATTTCCTCTCAGAAACCTGCAAATTTGTGCTGTGGAGGAAAGGGCACTGGTTTGAAGTCAGAAGATCTGGGTGTGAGTTCTGGCTCAGTGACTTACTTGCTGTGTAACCTTGAGGAAACTTCTTGACCCCTCTGATCTTCAGGTATCTTGTGTATAAATCACAATCATGTGGCATTTTCATGATTTAATAACCCTATAATTTAATAAAACTATAGCTTATCAATGTATTAAAAATTTTTAATAGTTTGCTATAGTAGAAGAAAGAATGTCACAAGTTTCACAGTGAGTTTTATCTTTGAGCTCCAAATGTTTTATAAGAATTTAGTCATTAATCCTTACTTCTAATCACCAGGTTGATTAGGGGTAGCCAATTTTTCATCTCTTTTTCAAGCAACTCACGCCCAAATATCTCTTTGTACCAATATTACAAAAAATGTGCTTGAGCTCTATCTTCTGAATATAGAATAATAAAAAGAGATGTAATATTTATTAAGCAACTATTCTGTATCAGGTAGTGCGCGAGGCACATTCACATATACTATGTCATTTCATTATTTCAAAAACCATATAAGGTATTATTTTAACACATTTATTTTTAGAAAAACATGTGTTCCACCTTCTGAGAGGTAAATGAGTCTTCATTTAAGTGTGTTTTGTAAACCAAAATGCACCCTTGCAGATACAAAATATTTTCATTAGACAACATTCAGGAGGAAATGATAGAACGTGGACGAAAGGGAGGAACTCCTGGTTCAAGATTATAGGCAGAATACATGCATTTGCTTCCCCACCTCCCAAATACTCCTCAAGAATTGTTTTAATAAATTCAACCCATAACAGTGAAGAAAATGAGAGGGGGCCACAGGTGAATTAATAATTTCAACAAATTTCTGGAAGACACAAAGCAGATAGAACAAAGCTCAAGAATTTGCAGCCTAGGATAGTTGCAAAACAAAGTAAGAGTTAATCAAAAATCTGTCTACAGACCAACCAATAAAAGGACAAATGCACCCTTGCAAAAGCAACAGGCAACACAGCTGCAATCCTAGAGGGAAAAAAAGTCTCTTCTCTAGAAAAAAAAACATTAAATGAATTGCCTAAGGAGAACTAGACCAGTTAGTGTCAGGATCCTAGAACAACGCTCATTTTGGCATATAGAGGACTCGAAGTGCCTCGCCTGCTCACACTCATCAGAGTCTGGTAAGATCTACCTGCACATGTAGAGCTTCTTTTCATTCTTACTCTTCAGAGGAGAAGTATGTAACAGAGGAAACCTTCTCCATTACTTAGAACCATTGACCCTGTCCTTTATTCCTGACTATGGATAAACAATGATTTCCAAACACATGGGGGTAAAATGGCAGCCTGTGAGAAAAAAAATAAAGATAAACAATTAGAACTGACCCCAAAGAAAATAGAAATATTTCAGGAAATGGATGAGAATTTAAACCAAAACTAAACAAAAAACTCCTTGGAGAGATATGAGAACTAGTGCATCCATAAATCAAAGATAAGATGCCAAGAAAATGATAATTCAAAGAATTCTTAGAAATTAACATTTTTATTACCAAAAAATTTGAATATAACATTGAGTAAATTTATCAGGACATAAACAAAAAGACAGATATAGAAAACAGAAGTAAAAAGATTAGAGCTATAAAGACTTAGGAGGCCCAACATCAAGCTAATTAGGATTCTCAAAAACAGAGAAGATAAAGAGAAGAAAATTATTACAGAAACACTAGAAGAAAAATTCCCAGAGCTGAAAGAGATTGTCAGGTCCATCAAGTACTGAGCAACACGGGTTAAAAAATAATAATTAAATTAAAACCACATTTACACATCTTTAGGAAATTTCAAAACACAAAGAGTAAATAAGAGGGGCCAGCCCAGTGGCGTAGTGGTTAAGTTCGTGTGCTCTGCTTCAGCAGCCTGGGGGTCATGGGTTCAGATCTTGGGCACAGACCTACACACCGCTCATCAAGCCATACTGTGGCAGCATCCCACATACAAAATAGAAGAAGATAAGCATAGATGTTAGCTCAGAGACAACCTTCCTCAAGCAAAAAGAGGAAGATTGGCAACAGATGTTAGCTCAGGGTCAATCTTCCTCACCAAAAAAAAAAAAAACAAAAGAGTAATATGAAGATCCTAAAGTTATTTAGAGGGAAACAAGTGGTTGACCTTCAAGTAGGGTTGCCATATTTATCAAATAAAAATACAGGACACATAATTAGTTTTGAATTTCAGATGAACAATGAATAATTTACTAGCATAAATATGCTCGAAATTTTGCACATTGCATGGGACATACTTACACTAAAAAATTATTTCTTTATTATCTTAAATTCAAATTTAGCTGGCATCTTATGTTTTATTTAGCAACCCTGTGTTCAAAGAAGTAGAATGAGGCTTATAGCACAGATCTCTTCAGAAACACTGGAAAACAATGGAGGAGTGCCATAAATATCCTGAGGGAAAATCATTTTGAAGATAAAATTTAATATCAGCCAAACTGTGAAATAATATTTACCTCCCATGGATTCATCCTTCAGAAGTTTCTTGGAGCTATATTCCAGCCCAATGAGGGTTAAAATCAAGAGAAGATATGTGACGAAAGACGATGAAATTAACCCAGGAATCCAATGAAAAGAAATCCCAATATGACAGATATTTATCAGATCTAAAAAGAAATCAGTTTATATTACAACAGAAAACATAGGCTTCAAAAACAATATCTTCAAGATGTAGAATGACCTGGATTCTGGACAACAGACAGAGTAAAGGTAAGAAGCAAGGAGATGTTAGTGATATTCTAAGGAACACATATTTTTAATCTCAACCACCAAAAATAAAAGACAGTTGAAAGCTCCAAGCAAAATACACAAACAGCACAAAAATGTTATGATCAGTATATGAAGTAAATCAAAATATGACATAATTTTGAGTATAAGGAGTATAAAAAAGAGAATCTATTTAACCTTAACTAGAAACATTTTTCTTCAGGCAACACTAAGATTGTGACATTGGACTAGTGCACTACTTGGCTCTGAGTTGACAACAATTACATAGCCCCAAATTTCAATTTTAAAAGTTAAAAATCAAATAAACACCACTTATGTTACAATGTTCCATCATAATATGTTCCATCTGTGGAGTGACATCAGTATTTTCCAACTTGAAGACATTGGAGCCAATGTTTGGACCCTTGAATGATCATGAATTTGCCGAAAGGAATACAAGAATCAGATGCCACATATATCATTTTCAGAGAATAACAATATTATATTCTATATCTTCCATATATATTAACTATAATACATAGATTGTTCATTTAAAAATACAAATCTTTTAAAATTATTAATAAATTTATAGATACATTTTTGCCATTTTATATGCTAATTATCTACTGATTGAAAAAATACAACATTAAAAGGAAAGTCCTCATGGTCAAAGCATTGGGAACATCTGACCTGCACCAATTTGCCTTCCCTAGCACTTGGTAAAGTGTTTGTAACAGCATGTGGCTCAATAAATGCTTACAAATTCAACATGGATGACAAAAATGAAGCATCACCATCCTAACAACATGACTGTTCCAAATTCTTCTACATGCCTCAGAAAACCAGCCTCAGAAAACTCACAGCTCACAGAGTCTTCCCAGAGTTGAATGTCACACGGGATAATAGGCAAGCCACAGCCCAGGGCTCTCCTTGATCCAACCAAAGCAGCAAAGCAGCCACACTCATCAGCACTGCTTAAGTCAACTAGTTGGTGGAGTCTATTAAAACCTTTAATCTGGAAACAGGAATGGTCCATTATGACAGCAACATTTAGACCACAAGTGAATACCAAGCTCAGCAGGGGTCAGACTCAATGGTAGATTTTTATGGTTATGGGCTTGAGTTCTCATTTTCACCTAATTGACAGGAGCATTTCACTAAAAAGATATATGAGGTGTCATGGCCAGCCCCAGGTTCTCCCTTCCTGATAGCTCCTGCAAAGGTACAAGTTGACTCAGATAAGGTCATCATCCCACACGTTTTCTACTAGATGTAGAAATACATCTATGGCTTATTTTTGCAAGGTTGTAATGTCTCTGTGAAACTTGAGGTAGTCTAAGACAGAGACTAGACATTTTGTTAGCTCTTCATATAATATGGTACTTATTTCTTGACCTACATTATAAGCTGAACTCCCAAGGACCTTCCAATGGTTTACTTGTTACAAAAAGGAAAACAGAGTACAAGTTTATTTGCCCTGAAGAAGAATAAAGATTCCGTGAACTCTCTAAGAAAAAATTTGTTAATAGCTAAGTGCTTATGTTTGCCGAGTATCTCCTTTTCTTTTCTTCTTTTTAATGCTTGGATATAGCTATTTTACACTTTATTCTGGATGTTAGACCTGTTTGTCAACTGAAAATTGATCTGAGAGTCTCCAGAGGATGTGCAGGCTGGGTTTAGACAGTAAGTTTGAAATGATTTGAGACAGAATATTGGATCAAGTTAGCCTTTTATTTATAGGAGCAAAAAAGCCCAATTACGAAATGCCTTTATGAAGAGTAAGACCTTCCATAAAAGAGATTTGCAGGTGAACACTTCCCAATTTACCCATTAAAGAAGTAATGGTGAAAATGGAAGGAGAGAAGGAAGGAAGAGAGGAAAGGAAGAGGGGAAGGAAGAAAGGAAAAAGTTTCTAGGTACAATGGAATATTATTCAGCCATAAAAGAAGGAAATCTTGCCATTTGCAACAACACAGATGGATCCTGAGGGTATTACAATAAGTGAAATAAGTCAGACAAAGAAAGACACATACTGTATGATCTTACTTAAATGTGGAATCTAAAAAAACTGAACTCATATCTATTTTTTCACCAACAGGGAAGTGTGGGAAGTAGGACTTTATCAATGTTTCTGGTGGAATCCAAAGGTCTGGGTGTGCCAGAATGCTAGAATGTTATCATGGCCAAGTCTCAAAATTGTCCTGAGAGGATCTCTAGGTTTCATTTATTCTCTGTATGCTTTGGGTGTCTGGTATTTCTTGTCTCTAAAATAATGAACTGCCTACCCTGAAAGTTTTAGGGAGCTTTTTCTTTTTCATCTGAGGGCTAGTTCAGTGTTTCCTAAATTCTTTTCAGGCTTCAATGCAAACGAGATAAGCAAATGTGGGGAGGGAGGGACAATACACTTTCCCACTTTGGCAAGGATCTACTCAAGCTTCCATCACATGTCACATCCCCTACCCATTTGGCTGAGTTATTCCTAATTCTCTATTCCTACTTGAGTGTTCTACCAAACCTACTGTCAAATTTCGAAAGGCCAGAAGTCAGACAGAGATACTGGGGATAGATTTTTTCATGGTGAGATTTTGCATCAGAAGAGTCAGAAGCTGACCAGCAGTCACCATGCCTCCTCTGGCCCTCTGCAGCATCCTGCAGTGGTCTCCGCCACTGTATTTCCACATTCCACAAAAATTATCTATGTGGATCTCTCTCCCACACTAATCTCTTCAGGATAAGGCTATATCTTATTTTCTTTGTAACCCCAGCACTTACCATTATGCTTAAGATATAGTAGGCCTCCTTTGAATGTTCATTGAAATGAATATTGTCTAGCTTTTTTTGTGTTTTGAATAGTATACGGGTTCAACAAAGTAGAGAGAGGTTACAGGGAAAAACTGACATAAGCACAAAGAAGTCATGCTTCTTGTATAGTTTATGAAATATCTATCCTTCTAATTAAGCACACACAAATAATAAAGAAATAGTAACTATCATTGATCAAATATGTACACATGCACTACATATGCTAAGCATTTATATCTAACTGAATATGTAAGATAGACATCATTATCTACAGAAGAAAACCCAGCATCAAGAGGTTAACCAAACTTCCCAAGATCGAGTGGCTAGTGACAACACAACTGGGGTTTAAACCGAGTTCTATTTAAATGCCAAGCCCACATCTCATCCATCTCACACTACGTATCTAAAAGCCCGCTACATAAAAAGGAAAATTATCCGATTCTCCATTTCTTTAAAGAGAAAAACGATTTGGCAGCATTGCATTACAAAGGGAACAATAAACATTTGAGAAACGCATCATGTACAATGAGTTGTGCAGCAACGCCTGCCACAGGGATGAGATCAATTTGAAAAGTGCCAATAGTTGTGTGCTGAGTTTCATTTCGACGTTCCAAGTGTCTTATGGGAATTGTTTTTATTAACTGTGGCTTTTAATTGTGATGGCAAAGGGGTGACCACTGTTCTCAATTTCCTCCTCAGAGACTGATTCTTCTAAAAAGGGGCAAGTGAAAAAGGGTACTAACAATTAGTGGGTCCCTCCAATGTGCTAAGCATTATGCTAGGCATTTTCATATCATTTCTTCACATTATCTCTTTTAGTTCTCACAATGATACTACAAAGCGAGGGTTATAATTATCGTTTGATAGATGAATAATGACAGAATCAGAAAGATTTAGTAACTTACTCAATATCACACAGAAATAAAGTATTATGGCCAGGTCCTAACCCATACCTACTTAAATGCAAAGCCTTTGCTCCTTCTGCTGAATCACACGGAACCGTTGTTCCAAATGTGAAGCTAGACTAAGCCTTTAACTACATCCAGGAGTAATAGACTCTTGCTTAATATATAATTAATTGACTTATATTATATTCATTGACTTCTATGTACTCACAAATGTGCTGTGGATAATGGTAGAAGAATTATTGAGGTTAACTTATATGAACATCACTGATTGGGCCATATATCGGCCCCTTTGATCGCTGGTGTACCAACTGGAAATTCATATGAAGTTTTTTCCTATTCTACTCTCTATTTGTTCACAAAAACCCATCTTTGGAAAATTAATTCCCTCTAAGCCTCCAGTTGAACTTGGGCTGGTAAAACTAGATTATATGAACCTACTCACTGGCCTGCCTGTCTTGTTGATTATCTCAACAGAAAGTCAGTGCTCTTCATAGACTGTGTTTTATATTTCTGCCAAATCAAGAAGTGTGGTAAAACATCTTGCTGCCCACGTGAGTCAAGTTGCCATTTACATTGGGAGGCAGCATGGTTTTGTGGTTAAAAAAGACAGACTGGAGTCAGACTGCCTGGGTTCTAATCCTGCTCCCCCACTCACCACCACATGATCTTTGGTGAGTTACTTAACTCTTCCGTGTATCAGTTCCTCACATATAAAGTGGGGAAAAATACAGCACTACCTAATAGGAATGTTGTGAGGATAACTGAGATGTACATGCAGAACACAGAGAACAGTAACAGGCTTGTTCCCATTTCTTTCTGAAGATCTGTTGTATTCAATGGCATAGCTAAAGTCTTCCACCAGAGGTTTTTAATATGCATGCTCTTGCATCCCCATGATCTCTGAGGCTAGTCGGGGATATGTCAGCCAATGTCCCCATGACTGAATGTCACTGCATGGTTTGCTGGTGTGAGACGGGCTGCCTAAAGCAGGCAGTTGGAGGGAGGAAGGAAGGAAAGAAGGAATCAAAGAGTCTGGTTAGCCACTGTTCTCCCCATAATTATCCAAGACAACAAACTCTCTGTGTAGACCCTAGGGTAGTGGTTTCCCAACCTTTAAAAGAAGGGCTTTATTTTCATTCCTATGAAGTCTTGAAATCATCAAGAGAAGGGGAAGCCAACTCTAAAACACCTCAGTGGAGCTGGGGAGGGAGCATTTCCACTGGCTATGTTTTATTTCCAAACTGAAAGGCTTAATATCCACTGCAGCCTGAAAACTCTCATATAGTTTTCATCTGATTTGGAGGAGATTGTTTTATTCTTAACTTTTTATTTCATCTTCAGCTACTTTCAGAAATGAATTCTTTTTTGATCTACTAATTATTTTTAAAAATTGGCAATCATCTGCCCTTTAGTGGGTCTCTTATCAGTTATTATAATTGATCTCTTTCTCCAGACTAATGCAACTAAAGCCACCAAGCTACTGTTACTGAGGTGTGGCCCAAAGAGCATCTCCAGAATAGCAATGCTCTGCCAATGTATAGCGATCAGAACGTCATCCCCTTCCAAATGGACTGTTCTAATTTTTCCATTTAGATACAAATGAGATAGCTAATATATCCTAAAAGAATTACTTAAGGGCAGTGCGATCTACCAGAAAGAGCCCTGGTCTTGGGTTCTTGCTTTGGTATCTAAACAATATCTAATCATCTCTGAATTTTCTTTTCCCTATTTGAAAAAAATAAGATGGGGGGAGGATGTGGGAAGGTGAGAGGAAAAGATAATGATACTTGCCCTATCTATCCTATAGTATGGCTGTGAGGATCAAATAAAGTCACAAATGAGAAACAATTTTTTATAAGAAATATATATATATATATATATACAAGGTGAAAGTATTTGTATGTGTAGAATTAAAGATCCCCTCAGAAATAGATTTACAAAAAGAGACTTTGGTAGGCTGCTAGCATAGACTTTCTTGAATGCAATACAAAGAATTGTGTAACTCCTTCCATGTCTGGAAACCTTGGCTACATCACATGCATAGTGGTGCTCTCAGACAACCTTAAGAAAACAGACTGAGGCTGATACACACTGCTCCTGGTTTCATTGGAGGAAAATATAAATCAAAAGGGGATACTTCACTCTCTAATCACAAGTTATTTCCTCTCCAGTACTGTAAGAGTGCCCTGAAGTAACCACTTTCACAGGACTGAGAAAAGTAGTGTAGACAAACCAGATAAGCTTTTTATTGCCCTATTGTTGAATTCTCTGAAAACTAGAGGAAATAACTAAAATGGAGACACACTACTGCCCCAGTGTTTTTCTTAATATTCAAAGACCAAACTAAAATGTGCTTCTGTTAGGCTCTCCAACCATTATTGTGACTGAGGAAGGCCAGAAAGGATTGTGTAGAGTATGTGCTCATGGACATACACACACGTGTGTGCACACACACATACACACACACACAAAGAACAAGGACACCTTAATCTACTCCTGTTTAGTCTTTTTAACTCTTAGGTGATACAATATTTCATTAATACTCTCATCTCTGAGTTACCTAGTTACCCACCTCTAAATTTTTGCACATACTAAAAGTACCTGTCTTTCAAAACTCAAAAAATGAATTTCTATAAGCCAGATACTCAGGCAGTCATCACCCAGTGAAGCAAATCACCATGCCTGAGGGTGCATGGAAGTCCCCAAATAGAGACCTGACCTGCCAGGTGGCACTTGATCTTTGCACCCTGCATGAAAGAATGCCACTGAAACCTTTAAGCCCACTGACATTGGTTGTGGGTTCTTTTTATCTGAAAAGTGTCCTTGTTGTAACTCCTCTTGCAGAAGTCCCACAACCTCACACAGTCCGTTCAGTCATTTTTTGTCCCGTATCTAGTAGCTCTGACTCACTTACCCAGGGGAATTTTTTCCAGCAGGTAGAGATAGCTCTGAAAGAAGTCATTGCGAATGGCTCTGTGAAGGATAAAGGACATGCTATGTCGACAGAGTTCATCGTCGGTCTTCTGCCAGCGGGATCTAAAGGCAAAATGGGCTCCCAGGTGGGCCATGGTGAAAGGGGATAATAATTATTCCTAAAGAGAAAGGAAGCTTGCCTGGCTGTTTCTTTGAATTAACCTTCTCTTCCTACATGAACTTGAGACTGTCATTTTAAACCACTCCCCTGTCCATCTATATCAGGAGAGGTCGTCATGGGGCATGAGGGGAGGGGCAGCAGACATGGGAGGTCAGGCTCTTGGCACATATGCTGTCTGATTGCCTGGGCGACACCACTCCAAGCCAGCAGGTGCTAAGTAAAGATGAAAACAGGCTAGCGAGATCCTGCTTCATCCAGGAAAAAGCACGCCTCCCTCCTTTAGCTGTCACTTCAAACAGGCAGGAGCACAGCCTGCTAACACCCTGAATATTTGCTTTAATTTGATTCCTAAGTTGAATAGCCTAATTTCCATTTCAAAGACTTGTGAATATTTTGCAGGAGATCCTATTCCCTGATTTCCATCACTCCTCCCAGAACACTGAATCCTCAAGTTACAAAGACCCTTGAAAGTCATCTTAGCCACCCGCACTCCTTTTATCAGTACAATTTTGCCCAAATCCTTTCATAAAGATGGATATGTGTTTGCCATTTTTATGGATCTTCAGGAGAAATAATTATACGAGAGCCTGTTTTGATGTTAAATACCCTTCTCTGTCAGCAAACTTCCATCTAGCTTGCTCTAAACAACAGTCGTGTGAGCCTGTTTTTTCCTCTCTGCCTATTGTGGATATGATTTTCCTCATAAGTACTCATTTGGTTTCTGTACTGGCTATCTCCTGATTGTCCCTCTCCACTCTTCCCACATTACTATGTACCCCGGGAGGCTTATCTATATTGACAACATCAGTAGACTCCCTTGCCTTCTGGCTTCTAGTTGGGTTCAGCCAATGAGTAGTGCCAAGAGGAGACTGGAGGAGATTGAGTCAAGGTATTTATTCCGCTGGCACCTTCCCTGCGGAGATACCATAGGCTGACTGCTTCCAATGGTGGAAAGTCGTAGCTTCTGTCCAGGAGTCTTCTCACACAAATAGCTTCTCCTAGTTCTGATAACTGCTCCCTCCTCTTACTGCTTCAGGCCTTGGGGTAGTGATATGCCAGGCTGTCACAAGCCCAAGAGTAATGAACTATTCCTTGTAATTTCCCTATACTTACCCATACCTTTGTAAATAGTCCCTTTATTAAACTGGCTCAAATTCTCAACTTGTGAATGCCATTTCTCATAATGACCATGCCTATCATTTTACCCCTCTAATGTTCCTAACAGGAAAATCCATAAAAATTCAATACTCTATTGGCCCCATACCATGTGCAACCACTAACCACCTCCAGCCCCCAAACATACACATACGCATACACACAAAAGCACAAATGCACATATTAGGATAGGCAGCTTCTAAGAAGGCCCCTAAACATCCCCACCTCCTTCTTGATATTTGTACCTTTACGTAATCCTTATTCCTGAGTGTGGGTTAGACTTGATGACCCAGTGCTATACAATAAAATATGGCAGAAGTGATAAGAATATCACTTCCAAGATTAGGTTATAAATAGACTGTCTTGGCCATCTTTTGTCCTCTTGCTTGCTTGCTCTGAGGAAAGCCAGCTGCCTCTTGTAAACTGACCTATAGAGAGGCCCACATGGCAAGAAATTACCTCAGTGCAACAGGCCAGCTAAATTCTACCAACAACCACAAGTAAGCTTGGAAGATCTTCCCCAGCCAACCTGATAAAAGACCCTGAGTCAGCTAAGCCACACTGAAGTTACCGACCCACAAAAATAAAAGTTTCTTATTTTAAGCAGCTAAATTTTGCAATAATTTGTTACAATGCAGCAATAGATAGCTAATTCAAACATCATCAGTGGAATTTTTTTAAGACGTGGAATCTAACCATGATCTTTCTTTAAGTTTAATTTGTGTGTTAATCTTTTACTGGGGAAGGAAGTAAGGATTCCATTTATTTGGCTCATTTATTTTTCCGTCATTTTCCTATGCTTCTGCTTTCCCATTTCCCCTCTTCCCACCTTAAGGGACAACCATGCAATTTTGGTGGGATCGTCCCCATCCTTGTCTTCAGGAATTGCCCAGATTGCAATGCGAGTTATCTTTTGTCCCCTTCCCACAGTGTGTGGCTCATGGATGGAAACATTATCCCATCCTGAGCCAATCAATACATGGTATTTCTTCAGCCCCAGTTTTCATTTGAGAGTGGGCACATTATCTAAATCTGTTATTGTTAATGCCAGCCTGAATTGGGTTTTCTGTGTTAGTAACGTGGAGTCTAATCTAACACAAACACCATCCTGCCTCATTTCTTATGAGGATGGAGATAAAGTAAATGATACGAAACAGAACAGGGAAATGTCAAGGGAGAATATTTCATGGTGTTAAAAAGGAAGGCTCTTAACTGGAATTAACTGATTTGACTAAGTTATAAACTCATTTCCACTGCTTACATACTGAACAACCTTGACAAATTCTTCGTCTCTCTGAGCTTCACTTTCCTCTTCTATAATACAAAGATGATGATAATAGTATATACCCCATATGACTGTTGTGAGGAATAAACAACTCCAGGTAAAACATCACAGTGCCTGGCACATAGTACATGTCCAATTAGTGCTAGCTATTATCATCATAATCTTTGGAAGAAAGCTGATGTTAAGTTATGGGTCTTGAAAACACTTTGTCTGTCTGGCTATTCTTGGGTTGTATTCAATGTGACACTGTCTCTTACCATGAACTTTCGCCACATATCCAGGAGATTATCTGTACTTTATGCATTTAAGAGTTGAAAAGAAAAGAAATCCAAATTAAATGTGCTACTAGAGCTCATTTATCTATCCTTCAGAATTTTCGGTTGCTGTAGGGAAAAATAAGCAAGAGAAGAAGAAAACAAAGGGATCCTCTTTCATTATTTGTATTTGTTAATACACCTAAAATCTGGCAATCATTGACTCCAGCTAATCAGTACCCTTTTTTTTAAGGAAGATTAGCCCTGAGCTAACCACTGCCTGTCCTCCTCTTTTTTGCTGAGGAAGCCTGGCCTTGAGCTAACATCCGTGCCCATCTTCCTCTACTTTATATGTGGGATGCCTACCACAGCATGGCATGTTAAGTGGTGCCATGTCCGCACCTGGGATCCGAACCGGCGAACCTCATGCCGCGAAGAAGCAGAACGTGCAAACTTAACCACTGCACCACCGGGCTGGCCCCTACTCAGTATTCTTTATTTGGCAATTCATATGGGCAGGTTTCTCAGTTTTTACAGAACTAATTTTCTTTCACTATAAAATAGACATTAATTACTTATGTTTGCAGAAGGATTATTAAGGGTTCTAAAATCTTTATATCTCAGATCTGTAATTCATGAATGGAGATGAAAGAGTGATTGGTTTATACAGAATGGCTTTTTCAGCTTTTGTTTATCTCTGTGACTCACATTAGATTTTATGACTATTTCTCATACTGGTATAGCTTATACCAGTTTCTGGCTCATTGCATTTGTTTCCTTGTGTGAATAATTTTTCTCTCACAGCTGAAATGGTATTGAGGTATTTGCTACCACCTCACACCACTCTTGACCATATTCATACCAAGTGAGTGTGGTTATGTTATATATCTACAGTCTACCATAGGCATTCAATTTCCAGGCAGGAAAGGAAAACAATGAATGTAGAGGAAAAGGTGGCAAGGTAGCAAGAGAAGGTGGAAACTCTAAATTTATCAAAGTTGGTTTGCCTTCTCACAGAAGATACTTTGGTGAGGAGTAAACCACTGTTAATAAATTAGCATGGAGAGAGACTCAGAAATAAGAAAGATAAAGAAAGAAAACAAAAGCTAAATAGAAAGCATACTCCTTAAGTAGTGTGATAAGCTAAATAATTGGGAAAATCCACTCAATATAAAGTACATATCAAGTCAAAATTCCATAATACTTTAAACCAAAAATTCAACAGAGAGGATAAAATGAAGATAATTTTAGACAAAGATGGAATTTACCATTTATAGATGCTCACTAGAAGAGTAACTAAAAAAGTCTACTTTAGAAAGAAGGAAATTAAAACAGTGTGTTATTCATACAGGAATAGGTAAAAACATTACTAATATAAAATATGTAGCCTCTAAACAAATCTATTTACATATGGTTGATGTCAGACAGAGATAGTATTTCAGTAGAGAAAAGATATTTTCAATAGGAGTCCTGATGTTGGCACAATTGGATCCCTACCTCACATCCTACACAAACCAACTCCAGGTAGATTGAAGACTTAAATGTGGAAAGCACAAATCTAAAACTCTTTCAACAAGTTATAAGAAAACCTACTTATGATACCAGAGTAAAAAAGCATATCTTTTCTAAGATGCAAAAAACAAAAACCTAAAGAAAAAGAGTTAATTTCACTAAATTAATATTTAAATAATGAACTTCTAGTAATCAAAAGAAATCATAAAGAAAGTGAAAAATTGAGGTGGTGTCAAGATGGTGGCATATGTAGACTCTGAACTCACCTCTTCCCATGGATGCAACAAATTTACAACTACTTTGGGGACAATTACCCTTGAGAGAGAACTTAAAACTGGATAAAAAGAATCCCTGAAACAAGAGAAGGTGCTGACCAAGGTGGAAGAGGCAGAAATCCCTTTCTGGAGAGAAAAAAAAACACCTTTGATCTGTGGTGCCTCATGGCCAGCTAGGAGCAATCCTAAGGTACAAAGCATTCCCTAGAGAAGTGGGGGATCTGAGCAGGGGACAGTTATCCCCATAAACAACTTTTGGACTCGGCATAATCAAGACAAGTATCATATCTGGCTTTGATGGCTATTCACTATAACAGGGAATAGCCCCAGAAAAGCTATTGGAGATAAGGGGGGAAAAAGAGCCTGCTCTTAAAGGGTGCATGCACAAATTCACCTGTTTCAGAAAGCAACCTAAAATCATCAGAAAGAAAGGTGCACAGTCCTTTGGTGAAAAAAGACTCACTTCATAAGCTCTGGATACATCTTAGTGAGGGGTGAGAACTTTCCAGGGACTGAGACATTCGCAGCAGCCATTATTGTGACCTAGTACAGGTGTGCTGACACAGATGCTGGCAGATGCCATTGGAGTTCTTCCCCTGATCTGTTAGCGCAGGGGTC